CCTCCTTGGGCTAGCCGTACTTAAGTAGATCTACGGCAAGGAGTTTAGAACTAATGGAGCCTCCTCTCTCTCTTCGCGGCGCCACGAGCAGTACGCCGCGGTGGGGATCAAATATGGCCGCCGAGTGTGGGCTAAATCTCGAACTGTGGCGTTTCTTTTTATAGAATCTTATCGGGCTGGGCCACGTTGTGGGGGTGGGCGGGGTGGGGGAATGCACGCAAGGAAGAGGGGATGGGGAGGTGATGAAAGGGAGGGGCAGGCCTTGGGAAGGGACGAAGGAGAATGGGGAAAATTAAATATGGTTTGGTGTTTCTTCAACATAGAAAATATTCATCATTATTGTTGTTGAGTATTGATTTCCTATTCTAATGGAGCCTCTACTCTAGATATCTACATTTAGACAACAGCAGCATCTAATTTGCACACACAATGGAAAGCAATATAAATGTATAATATGTATATACATACACACTTATAATGATTATATATATATACACATAATAATTATATAGGCCTATATATATACACACACACATATATATATATATATATATATAAGAATACTTTTTTTAAAATTGAGTATCTTGATCTTTCTGCTGGGGTATTGTATCCTTTTCAACCTGGGTAGGCCTTGGCAGGTAGCGCCAGAGCCAGCCTCTTATGAATGTTAATGATCTAAATTGTGTTGCTGGGGGCATAAAAACACTTTCATTCAAATTTTTTAAAAGGAAAACAACTTAACTGTGAAAACTTCGGTCCACTGCAGCATCATATCGGTTCTTACACTTAAATACAACACAGATGCAAGGCATTTTTACTAATTGACTTGCCTAATCTCAAGGACCTCGGAATAAAACCTTCTTTCTTATCTAGATTTCAGTGCGTAAGTCGGGCATTCGCTCAGCGCAGGTAGACCACAGTTCCGCCGCGAGAGAGGGCTCCTATCAGGCGTGCGGTGCCGCCCACAGAGCATCCTCCGTTACTTTTAATCTCCTTGATCTACGGCTAGACTTAGAGTCTAGAGGTACTTTTAAGTACGGCTAGCCGTACTTAGATCTAGGTTTGGCCCTATCGACTCAAGCCTGTTAAGTACACGGGTCTCATTAGATCTAGATCTAGTAATTATTCAGGTTCAAATACATGCAAGTCAGTAAGGCACCTGTTGGTTTTGTCTGAAATACAAATACTTTAGGCATTGCAAACTAAAAAATTCATTTACAATTCAGCCATCAATATTAAGTATGGCTAGACTGACAGTCTAGCCGTCCTTAAGTACGGCTAGCCTGGCTGTCTACCCGTACTTAAGTACGGCTAGACAAGAAGTCTAGCCGTACTTATCTTAGGCCCTATTAACATTAGAAAACAGGAAGTTTAAAATACTTGCACAGTCATTAATTAAGGCACCTGGTTTCGTCTCAAATACAAATACTTTAGGTACTGCACACTAAAAATTTATATTTGCAATTCAGTAGGCCTATTTTTTTTTAAATGCTCAGTCTTGCCATCATATTAAGAATAAGTACGGCTAGACTGTCAGTCTAGCCGTCATTAAGTACGGCTAGCCTCTTCCTTTCACAAAGACCGATCATTTGCTGCCGACTCTCTAGCGGTGTGTGTGGGTCCAGAATATTAAGACTCGAGTCAATACAAGAGTTTCTACGGCCCTTAAGACTCAAGTAATAGTACAGTGGAATCCTGTTATAACGAGAGGGAGGGGACCGGTCCGAAATGTCCGTTATAGCAGGATTCTCGTTACAAGGGATCCAGTAATAAATTCAAGGGAAATAGTAAAGTAGGCCTAATCTATGATTTGGCGTTCTGTTTATTCCTTTTTGCATTTCCCCTGATGATGATTTGTTCAACATGATCTCTAGGTCTTACTTGATCAAAAATCGAATCAGGTTTCTTTCTCTAGCACTAGCAATGTTGACAAATCGGCCTTGACGATCAGAAAGAAGAGGCTCTGGCTTTAGGCTAACTCGCCCGTTGTGTTATCCCCCACCCCACCACACACTGTGGCGCGTTGCGTCTGCTCGCGCACATCATACATTCACTCCATCCATCTATCACAGCATTGTGACCTCTCCATCCCTCACCAGAGAAGTGAGAGGCACGGTATGCCTAGATAGTCTAGACTGGGCTGACCTATCACGCTATGCGTTCGCTTGAGTCTGCGCATGCCACACCCTCCCCACTCATTCGCTCCGGCCTTCATTGTTGGTTCGCGTGGGCTCTCCCATTCCTTGTTTCGCTGGATCACCGACAACTTTCTCAACTGGCAAGGTTTTATAGGTTTAATTGGTCTGTGCGCTGTGCACAGCAGCAGCAATATTCCGTTATAAACGACTCGCGTGACGGTCTGATTGCGCAATAGCAGTATTTTTTTATTTACAAAGATAAAGAAGAAAAAAAACGGGGTTTTAGAACAGTGTCTTTATGACAGACTTCTCGTTGTTTCAGGACTCGTTATAAGTGGACTCCACTGTATCCCGAAAGGGAATTTTAGTGGGTTACAAAAAAAAAAGTTTGTTGAATATTGGACAAAAAATACAGTGAACAGTGCCTTCCTTAGTGGGCGCTTGAGTAGGCTTATGGCAATTCTAGACATCTGCATGCTGTTTAAACCGTATTTTCTTTTCTTTTAAGAAGTGGCTATTCTCATAGAATAAAAATACGATCGACCTCTCGTTGGCTCTTCTCACCCGGTGTGAAACAAGACTTGTTTTTTCCTAATTTCTGAATACTTTCTATCGGTGTGGATGATCAAATTGACAAACCCATAGAAAAGAAATGGTATTATAGCACCAAAGTAAACTAATTTGGTGGTCTGCAAAGATGTTACGGCTATTTCACTTTTCGAATTGAGTCGAACTACACTGGTCGGCATTTTGTTTTGCTCGGAAGTTCTCGCTAGATCTAGGCTACTCCCCTCTCTCTCTCTCTCTCTCTCTCTCTCTCTCTCTCTCTCTCTCTCTCTCTCTCTCTCTCTCTCCCCCTCTCTTTTTCTCAATGCCCGCAGACAAATGTACACGTTTTCAACACAATAGGACTGAAACGTTTGTTTACACCCCAGAATTCAATAAAAAGGGTAGATCTAGAATTCTGTGGTTTACACTGGTTATCACGGTAAACGCACACAGGGTGAGGATAGCCAAAAGGCTCGCCCACTCACCCTGGGTGAGAAACCTGCAACTGCGCTAGAATAGAGGTGGCCTTTATCTTATCAATTTTTTCAAAGATAATTCTCTGTTGCAACAGTAAGAATAAAATGTACACAGACTGTAAACCTCAGACAAGGCACTTCATATTTTAAAGTAAATGAAGTTCGCTTAGGTCATCATAGGTTTTTTACTGTGGTTTCCTTTTTTTCTTTTTTTTTTCTTTTTTTCTCTTTTTTTCTTTTTTTTTGGGAGGGGGGGGGCGGGGTTGCTTTTTTGGTTTTATTGGGGTTTTTTCCTTTAATAAAAAAAAAATTGCGTATTAGAATTTCTCTTTTATCAATAATTAACTTGGTTTTAAAAACCAAATTTCTCTCCTTTTCTTCTTATTTTTCTACGAACTCAAGTGTAAACTCGAGTCCTTACTCGAGTAATTTACTTGTGACTCGAGTCAGGACTCGCCGCATGTATTACTCGAGTCTTGAGTCTGGACTCGGTACCTGCACACCTCTACTGCCGATTTGCCGATCAATAAAAATAATTGGTTCTTGCGTGTATCGGTGCCATTCATCATGAAATTAAGGCCACATTTATCATGTCTCGCTATTCTCACCCCCGCCCCCTCCCCCAGTTGGGCATGAGGCGAGGACTCCCCCACTCGCAGGCCGATAAAAACACCCAGGCACTTGGTACATGTAGCCTACCGCATGTGGTTGGGAACGAATAATAATAATGTAAAAACATGTTTCACCACTCCAGTGAAAAAAAAAGGCTATCACTACCTACGCTACTGAGCAAGATGTGGGACCAGCCGCCTGCCGGATTATTTGTTGTTTACACACTGACCTAACGATGGCAGGCCTCTCACTCTCTGCTTGCACACAATAAATTAAGGCCTATTTGCAACGCCGCGTTGCAATTAGCGTCAGTGCTAAAAAAAATGCCGCGTTGAGATTAGTGCCAGTGCTAAATAAAACGCTGTGTCGCCGTGTGTAAAATATGCTTAATCTGCACTTCGTTATCAGAAGTTCTGATGGCCGAAGTGACAGCGCGTGCGCTTGAAGTAAAACCGTTATTTTTTTTTAGCGTGGGTTCGATCCACTGACCTAAACTATATATTTTAGGTCAGTGGTTCGATCCCGGTCCTGGACGTTTGTTTTTTCGGTTTTTGTTGTTGTTGTTGTCCTCTTCTCGACTGACCAACAAATTGTTCCCATAATTATATCTTGTTGCTTTATAGTTTGTTTTATGTACTTATGAAGCATGCACATTCTGGTTTTGTCCCCAAGAGGAGCTCTGTACAAAGTTTAGGCCTTAGGCTGCAACCATATTAACGCCCGACACCGACTGACGGACCAGACCCGCCGTTTTACGCCGGGTGCGGCCGACCATGTTAACACTAGAGACGGGCGGGAAGCGCTTTTTCCTTCCCGAGCGAGAAGACCGAGTAGCTGACCTATTTCTCGCCGAGACCGGGAACGAGAAATACTTCCCGTCTCGTGTCTCGAGTCTCGAGC